TCAGCTTCTAAATTCGATTTCGGTGATGGAACGCTGGCCACAAGCTTGTTATTCAAGTGCTACCTTCGTAAAGCAAGGAGCATTTTATGAGATATTCGTAGTCACTGGTGCATAGTGTAATTTATTTCGTCTTATCGCTCATTTTCTATTCCAGGTAGCCGCGTGTGAGCTGCTTCATTCATTGGCTCTCTACATGCTGGGAAAAGGTGTTACACAACCTGGTCACAAGGTAAAACGTCAAAAAGGTCATTCTTATTGCAGCCATTTTTGAGTGAGGAGCATGTGACGTCATCGCCGCGTGACCCAGGCTCAGTTCGGAGGAAATATGATAAAGCACTAGAGTTATTTCTCATTCAAATCATGATGGTGGTGGTGATGATGATGATGATGATGGTGTCGATGGTGGTGATGTTGAATAAGGCGGGTGATGATTATGATGTTGATGGTGATGATGATGATTAATGGTGGTGATGATGATGACTCCGATGGTGAATATGAATGATGATGATAGCGGTGATGATGAATAAGACGGGTGATGATGATGATGGTGATGATGATGATGGTGATGATGATGATGATGATGGTGATGATGATGAAGATGAATAAGGCGGGTGATGATGATGATGGTGATGATGAATAATGGTGATAATGGTGATGATGATATATATGATGATGGTGATGGTAGTCAATGAAATCGTCGCTTGATGATCATCCTTGTCATCCAACATGGTAGACATTGATCACAAAGATCCGTGCGACACATTGCTAATTTTCGTCTTTTCTTCCAACTGGATACCCTCGTTAAAGTAAGAAATGCTGACATCGCTTTGCCGGGCCGTATTCTTATTAAAACGATTGATATTCGTTGTGTTCTGGCTACTCAGTTAATTGTTTGTGTGAATCTTAGGAATTCGATTTCTTTCCCTCCCGCCTCGTAAAATGCATGYCACTAAATAAACCAGCTGTTGCTTGAACATGTCGTTTCTCAGCGCAAAGAGGAAGGGGTTAAGACAAGCATTAATGTTAAAACAAAATAACGGGAAGCACGAAAATATGAACAAATAAACTCGATGTGCTGTGAGTTTCTCTGTGAAGATCTCTGGAGTGTTATTGTAGAAGTTCGAATGGAAGTATAACAAAACCGTTGGAATAACAAAAAATACCAAATTGGTGAACACTATCGATGAGATCTTCTTAGCAACCTTTAGGTCGGTTCGGTTCCCCATTTCTTGTCCAGATCTCTTAACATTGACATATATTCTCAAGTACAGAAGGATTCCTATGATGTAAGGAGCCATAAGGCCACACGTGGTAAGAAGCAACGCAGTACGAACGGCCAATGAAGCATTTGTTTCATATGTGTTTGGAAGACTGCAGTGGGATACTGGGTGATACTTAATCTTACCGTCGGCGAAGAATGGGACGGCGGCTGTTACTATAGCAACAGCCCATGCCAATAACCAAAACCTCAGGGCAGTTTTTCTGTTCAATCTCTTTTCTGGGTTCAAACCGTGGACGATGACAAGGTAGCGTTCGACTGTGAGGAGTAGTGACGTCAATGGACTTGTGACTTGCGCAGTAGTGAAAAGGATTCCAGATATGTTACACTTGACCTCGTTTACGTGTATTGTAGACTCRGTTAGGATTTCTTCTTGATGGAATGAAATGAATGACGTAAATGTAGCTTGTAATATTGAATACAATCCTGTCAAGAAATCACTAGATGCCAACATGGCAACCAGGACGAATGAAGGAGACTTCCTTAATTTTTTCCTTAGCAACACGGTTGCTATGACAATGAGGTTAATTAACATCGACACAGTTCCAAGCGAGTAGAGTATATACTTCATACTCGTGAAGACTGCGAGGCGGGCATTATCGTAAGGTGCATGGTTCTCGTAGTAATAGCAGATCATTTGGTGCTGACACTTAACAATGAAATTCAGCTTGTAAAACTCGTACAATTGTCCGTATTTTACCTTGTTTGGGAATGAARATTCTAATTCCTCGTCTTCATCCTCGTCCGCCTCATGTTCATCTTCATGATCATCTTCGGTTGAAGTTTTCTCATTGTTATTTTCACACTCGTTGTTTTCACACATGTTTTCTTTGCTGTCGTTCCCGCACATTTTGTCTCCGTTGGGCTCCCTGTTTCTGTCACTGCAGTTTTTTCTTGATGCAACTTTCTTTGCATTACTCAACGAGCAAACTCCGCATTCCTTCCTCCACCACACCCCTTCTATCATTTTTAACTTGGACAGACTCAACAGATCGTTGCCTGGCAACCAGTGTTGGTTTCCTGTGACGTTGAGGTAGGCAAGGTTTGGGAGGTCTCTACTGACGTTGCCATGCCAACTTCTCATGTCATTGAACTGCAAATTTCTAAGAAAATTTTGAAATGAGTTTGTTTTCATGACGTTTAAAATCATACTTTTTCTTGATGGGATATGTTTATGGAATGTCTATTGTATTGTCCTTTTAGCCTCGCGTCAAAGATTAGTAAGGGTGGTGTAGTGGTAACACACTCTCTCTTCTGGGGTCTTGAGTTCGATACCTGGACTCGGTATGTCATGTCAGTAAAGTTTGTTAGTTCTCTACCTCGATKCGAGGGGTTATCTCCGTGTTCTCCGGTTTTTCTACCTCCGCAAAACCTTAGAATCAAATTTTGATTTCGATCTGTAAGTTAGCGCTAGCCGTGCCTTGACTTAGACCAGCTGAGAGGTTGTTTCAGGGTTCGAATCTGTGATTTAGCCGTGCCCTGACCTAGAGCAGCCCAGAGGTTGTTTCAGGGTT